AGGATATTGTTATTCTGAATTTTTGCACATAGGCCTTTTTTCGATGTTTCGATTTGAATGATCTGAGGTTTCATTCGAACATAGAAAGAGGTTTTGGTACAGTGTACCAGATCGTACTATAATTATAGCAAATTTTTGAAGATCCTCCTTTTTTGATAAACAGGTCACCCTTCCACTGATAGCAACACCATCATCTTATGTTGTTGCTTCTGACCCTTCTGACAACCACCCGCAAAAAGCCGTTGCATTTTTATTTCAACCTCACTCGCAGTCATCGGTCAGCGCTCCGATCGCAATTAAAAATCAAATTTCTAAAGCAAATTTAAAGCGCTAAGCGAAGTTTAAACCTGTAGTCCGTTGATTATTCTAAAGATTACATTGAAGCTCAAAATATGGGTATATTTCATAGTAAAATTGCGCCTATCGACAAGTCAAATGAACAATTTAACAACTCCGTTGATCCTCGTTCGCCAACAATAAACATCAATCGTAGTCCCATCGGAGCAGAGGTAAGAAAAAAAAAACGGTAGTATTAAAAAGATGTTTCATTAATTTATCGTGCCGTAACAGACCGTTCCTGACAAGCCAATCATCACGAAAGTAAGGGACCTAACGGCTGACTTAACCGAAATTCTCGACAACGCTCAAACACCCGATCGAGTTGTTAGTGAAAAGCTACAATCGGTCCTGGATCCACGGTCGCCTAGTATATTCTTACGGACTCCGCTCGTACTGGATGTATCGAATGCTTCAAACATCAGCCTACGAGGCAGTTCGATTGAATACGAGGAAATCGATAGTGACGGTGAACTCTCCTTCAAAGATTGTTCCACGAATATTTCGATGGCGCCGGTCATGGATTCCATCGCAGGCAGTGGTAGCATTTTCAGTGATACCAGTTTGAATACTGAATTGAAGGCCGACATCGATTGCATCATTCAGAAGTTGTATGATACAGGTAGCAAGGATCCTCGATCGCCTTCGGTTGCCATTCTGCGTACGCCGATCGTTCTCGAAGAAATCCAAGAATCTACAGCAGAAGAGCAAAATGAGGATCCAATAGAAGTCGAACAACCACTTGTAACACAGCAGGAAACTAAGGACGACGTGCAGGAGGAGGAGAAAACTACGACAAACAAGCTAACGATCGTCATTCAGGATGAAAATACAAATACACCGTTGGTGGTTACACCAAAACGAGAAAAGTCAGATTTGAGTGCACGCAAAACCAGTGGTATTGTAGGACCCCGTACGCCTTTGGGATGCGTAACAAATGTGCAGCCGTTGGCCAGCGCGGGTGGTAACGATATGCGCAAAACGGCACTGTTTGGACAAATGAAGCAGGGTGCTACGGGGCTCGGCAGCAGCGCGGAGTTGATTCCTGGGAAAAAGTTACAAACGCGATCGAAAATCCCCACTTTTCGAATGAAGTGATCGATATGTAAGGCTGAGAATCGCGTTTTCAAGTACAGCGTTTGGCAATACGTGAATTTTATTAACTTTGCTTTCCACAACATCCATCGAACACTAAAATCTATTCTTGATTTTACTAGACCATTCTTCAGAGATGGCTGGTAATTTTGGAACAATATTAACTGATGCAAAACTATGGAACGCAAATAGCTAATGTAACAAGCGTTGTTGGCAAAAACGGGAATTGACTGTAATTTGTTTGTGTACGTTTGAGAATAAAATTACTGTGGATTAATAATGCTTTGGTTCTGAACTAATAGTGATTAGTTTTTTTTTTCAATTAGTGTAATCTTTGATCAGCTTGGGCTTATCATTTTCATTTCAATGTTTAAGAAATAAAGCGTTTATATAATTTTTTAAACTATATTTAGACTCATTTTTATTCTTCGAGACAAGGGGGTCTTGTGAAAATACTTCATATCAAATAATTGATGGCAACGACGAGTACCGTTTTCAATTGATCAATATATAGCGAATTCGTTTATTATTCAGTTCCAACCTGGATTGGGTCTGCTTGTTTTCTGATAAACGTCAGTTAGCTCGTTTGTTTTTAAAACCTAGCTCAGACTGAGGTTCGCACTTACAAAAAGTTCCGTTTCGCACGAATTCGCTATTAGTGGTCAAATTTTGAACCCATCACAGCATGCTTTTGGCGCTACTGTATATGGACGATCAAATGTAAAATACCTACTGTGGTAGCTACAGCATAGTTCTGTCAAAACCTCAGCGTTGGAGCCAACTAAGCTGATTTTATGACGGTTTCAGTGTTTTCAAGTTTTTTTTTATTTATTTATTTGTTTTTTTTCGAGAGTTGACCAACTGTAGTCTTAATAGGCTAGCATCTCGATTGGGCTCTCCATGCAATACACAATACTAACAGACGACTCGAGCTATGGTGCTCACTAGGTCACTGCAGCTTTTAGGCTCGTATTGTGATCAAATGTGTGTATTAGATTACGACCATAAATATGTGATAAATCATGTAAATGTAAATGGAATACAGTAATGTCCCGATTTTGTCAGCCCCTCTTTTGAAAATGTTTTCCAATGTTCTACAAAACCCATGCCCTTTTTCAGTAATCTTCTTGAACCTATTGCACCAAAGTATACTTTAAATATCCCTCTTAACGATGAATGAGAAAAATTTATATTTATGGTTATGTGAAATTATTGTAATTGTAATTGTAATTTATCAGCACACACCCTGGTCGACCACAGTAAACCAATCTGCCGTTAAGTGAGTGTGTACCTACTGAAACCTGGCCGTAGGCCTATGCTAGACCGTATAGCATAACGACCTTCTTCCACTAGCAGGCCTGTTTCTGTTTGCACAGACAGTCCCACTAGTTTCCGATACATTTATAGGGGATAGTAGGAGATTAAAAGAATGGAGAAGAGTTATAGAGGTTTTTTTGTTGTTGTTTTGCTGAAGAGAGAGAAACAGAACTAAACGAAATTACACCTGCTGAAAAAGATAAGTCTATTATTTTGGTTAGTGATCGTTTGGATTTGGGTCACCCCACGTTGTGTTTAGGTTAGTATAAATAAATAATACTATATAGTCATATAAATCACCACAGCTCATTATATTCATCGTTATCGGTTTTTGTTTCTGGATCTATAGTTGCCTCTGTGATATACTTACTTGCGGCATACTATTTTGGGAGTGTATATGAGCGTGTACCATGTACGGTAGCTCATCTCTCATCGTTATGGTGGGACATAGTAGACAAATTAGAGAGAAAACAAGGAGGTATTAGTATTAGTTATATGTAAACAAACAAAACAAAAGAAGAGAAGAGGAAAGTAGATAACTAAGAAAAGAAACGTAGGCAGATTATTAGAAAAGGCATTATCCGAGACTCAGCAATCAAATGTCACTCCCGCCGAACCCGCACAGCCGAGCTCGGTAGAAAAAACTAAGTGTGTAGATAGATTAGTAGGAAAATAAATAAAACTATTGCTGATTGCATCTGAAACTGGACTGTCCAAAAAATGCAAAAAGTGTGATAAAAGTGCACGTTCCCGTCAAACTGTCTTGATGTCTTCGGAGCACTTATTGCTTGCATCATAAGGAATAAGTGCATCGAAGACACCAAGACGATCAGACGTAAACTTACAGTTTTATCACACTTTTTAATAAGTGAAAACGCGCTTATTAGTCCAATTTGGTGTGAAACGCGCAATACTTTATGACACAAAGTACAATTAATGAGCGTTAGTTTCGTGATCATTTCAGTGTTAGAGTTATGTTAGTTTTGATCCGTAATCAGCCCTGCCGGCCCCTTCAACATTAGTTGTAGGCAGTGGTTGTTAGATCATGCGGCACTGTAACTACTACTATTTTAGAGGTATGGTTCGTCAAGTTTATACAACTCAATGTTTCAATTGAGGCAAACTATCTATCTTACAATTACAAAAGCAAACCTAAGCTTACAATTATATGCAAATGCAAAATGAAACTTGACAAATCATCGTCAATCCCCTTATTCCAGGGCAGGGCCTGACGATTTGAATCTAATTTTGATCAGTGAACGGGCACCATATGGTACATTTTCTCACCATGAACCTATCATTTCCAGCCTATCTGAACTATTTAATAAATGGAAGCCATAACATGGGTTACGCTCCCCCTAAGCGAGCCCTCCGCATCCTATCTCTGTCTTATCTCAAATACAAAATGTCAATGGTATGAATGTATCTATATATAACTTGGAAATGACGTACAATCAAATAAACCCGTAACCCACTCTCTTGGCCAGGCTTCAGAATCGTCCAGTGGGCAGTGCGCTCTACACTCAAAGTTACCTTTTTTCAAATTTACCGCAAATTTGCTATTTTACCCATTGAGTGTTGATTAATCACAATGAAACATTGTGACAGAGGTTGAGGTTACTAGTGTATTAAATAATCTAGGTCCTATTTAGGATTATATCTGAAAAATCCAAATCTGGCCAACGCCCACCCTAAACCTAAACCTGTTCTAATCCACCTGAAATGACTAACGAATAGAAGACTTTGACTACCCAGCCATGAAATAGTCTCATTCCGTGCCTTATGGCAACTTGATGATTCTATTGCGCTCATCTTTTGGCACCACCCAGGGGAGACTTGGTCCTGTACCCAATGCTTAACTTATCTCCATTCCACTCAGCTACTCGCAATTTCTTGTGATATAGTGGGCGGAATATTATTATATGAGACAATTCAATGCAGACGTCTTTCCAAATTTGGCAGATCGACAAGTAATCGGTGAGTTACCACGAAAGTTGCTATTCAACAACTCGACAACGTCCCATCGTCAACGCCTGCTATGAGAAATTCCCATTGCAGACGTCAACGAAATGACGTCATCGAGCTATCAATCAACTACACTCGTTATTGCCTGGTACCTTATAGCACGATGCTAGGAGGCGAACCGGAAGAATCGATGAGCTACCTCTCCCCCCTGATCAAATAGGCGCGGTCACCAAGGTAGACAAACAGAAAATTTATGGGTTTTCTTTGAAATTGATTCACTGCATACATTTTTTGTGGCATTACAATTTTATTCGATTTCCAATTCTTGCATTCGCATATAATACGTAAATATTAAAACTTAGCATTTCATCTCTCTAAACTGTTTTCTTATAATCTGAACTGACCTCACAAACATTAATACATTGGAATAAAATCTGTAAAAATAAACTCTTCTAACAATATGCATCTTCAAATGGGATCAACTACAAAATGGAAGGCTATAATTTATGCGTTGAGTTTCTATTCTGTTGATTATCAGTGAAAGTTGAATTATTTTTGACTGATCCAAAACGGGACAGTTGAGATGAAATTTCGATTTGATTAGCTTTATGTGTTTAACATAATAAATATTATATAAATATAAATAGAGCATTCGTTAATGAAGAACGTGTGCGCGTGTAAAAGAGTTTGAGCCAATCTCCGAATGTGGGATGTGATTTAGTGTAGTATGTTCGCGTACAATGATTCAAAATTCAATGCACCTAACATATGAACGTCTTTTACAGCACTTTGGATGGATTAATTTTCAACCGAGAAAATACGTTTTTGTTTTTACCTTAATAGCTAGCTTACTTTCCGTACAGTGTCAACAATTAGCTTAAAACCGCTTACGTAATTGTTGTTTTAAGCACACTCAGGCAACATTTAATTATTTAGTCTTTTTACCTTACTCGGAGGAGAGACTCGCATTTTTATGTTTGTAAGTGTAAACGTGAAAATTTTAACATTTGTTGTGCCGTCATTGTTCCTTTTTGTGCTTCCGAATTAATGTTGAGGTAAGCCTTAATATCATCCACTTAAGGCAGTGGCGGCACTGTCCTTTAAGCTATGTCGTCGATTTCAGTCATTTGCAAGCTTTGTACGGAGAACGGTTGCTTGGTGATGGGCGTCAGCTCCACCACTTGCATCGGTGCTTCGACGGCATCCGTTTCCGGTTCTTCTCCAAGCAAATGAGCCAGATTGCTCTGCTTCCAGCGACCGGAGTTACCGTTGATGGTACGATCCTCGCATACGCACAGGAACAGCGTATCTACTACCATTTCATACAGCGAAAGCACGATGTGAGCGACGAAGAACGAAAAGAGTGTTATGATGATAACAGGAGCCATGTAGAAGTGAACATTCGGATCATCGCGTAGCATCAAAATGCTAATCAATCCACAGAGGGCTGCCACGGCCAGTTTTCCCAAGAACAGCACCAAGTCACCGATTCCATTGATGGTAGCCACTTGCAGAGCATTCGTTACCAGCGCGTTCCAAGCCTAGGGGGAAGAACGAAAGTTGAAACCTTGACTCAAAACTGCGCCATTAAAAAAAACTTACAATTTTCGCCGCTGGGCAGAAGTTGACACTCTCAATCGCAATGACCGTGTAAGCGTTATGATTCAAATAGCGAATGAATTTCTCCAGCAACCAGAAACTGCAGATGCAACACTTCAAGCAGCAACTGGCACATTCCGAACCTTCCTGTTGGTGGCGTTTCAATCTGCGAATAGGCAAAGTTAAAGCGACCATATACAGATTTCCAATCCCCTGAAAAATTCCACTTACTTTGTGTACAGATAGGTCAAAATCAGTCGCGGTATCTTGAACAGTGTGATGATGAACGATCCCTTCGCCACCGAACCGAGATGGTACTTGACCAGCTTGGCGATGGCATTCAGCACCGGAGTGTCGGTGGGTTTGCGGAAATACCAATAGGCAACGGCACCGGAGATGACCATCTGTTGGCAGGCAAAGATGAATTCCGACGTCCACACAAGGCCGATGATGTACAGCCACAACATATGCCGAAGGAAGTCAGCTTCCGGGTATTCAACCAGATCGAATGCTACAATAAAGATAACACTGATAAGATATAAACAATCTTTGGAACGCGTTTTCCCAACCCAACTCACATTTGTACGTGTTGTTGTTGACGGACATATCGGGCTTGATGGAAGCTTCAGTCTTGTTCGGGTTCTCCTTGAGTTGAGTAAATGGTAAAAGAGGTCTCACGTTCGGATAGTTGGCAGTGGCTAAACACACGATCACCACCATCCAGAACACTAGAAAAACGGCCAGAGCAATAAACGCCAACAGCGGAGGTCCAGCTAATCCGGGAAGTTGAATCATACACTTGCCAGCTTCCTCGAACAGAGCAGCTAATCCGTTCAGCTTCTCACGCAGATAGTAGATAATGACCAGCAGAATAATCATGATAAAAGTGGCCAGAATAGCCAGCACATAGATAGTCGTTTCGTTGCGTACCAATTCCTCCAAGTAGGACAGTTTCGGATCCATATCGATTGAGTGCTTTGCTTTGTAGTAACTCCACCACAAAACTCCGGTGATTCCAATGCTGGCTACAGCGACGAAAATGCAAATCAACCACGAAATTATGGCTGTCAGCACGTGCAGCATCGTTATCAGTATTATCGAGAAAATCAAGCTGAGTGCACAAAGAAGCAGAACCGTGGGCCACGTTTTGTAGAGGTCACTGAAAACCTGTTGGGCAGCTCCAAAGGAGTTAACCAGTGCGTACATGTCTTTCACCTGCGAGAGCGGAGCATTTTTACCCGACGGAATACATCGATGCAGCACAGGGGTGGATTCATACACCGGGATGGTGGGACATGGCCCGGCAAATGCAAAATACTTCGGTCCATTTGCTTCCGGTTTCGTCAGAAGGCTCATGTTAAAATCATATCGACAGTACTTTGTATTACGATCCTCGTAGTACCGGTACAGTTCCATCGCATTGCCGATCTCCTTCTTGGGACATTCCTTAACGCATAGCTTCAGAGTCTGCCGTAGTTCCTTGATGTCTAGGAAGAACACGTACGGTCTGTCCAGGGTATTCATTCCTGACAGGGGGAAGTGGGAGAATTTTTCATTGCTTTCCGCACCGCATGTGTTGCCGAACGAGTCATAGCCATTGATGATACGCAACGGGTTGCCGTACACGAACGAAAAGACCGCGACGACTAGCTGTAGGAATCGAGAAACAGGGAAGGCGTTAATTAAAACAATTCTAGTGAATGGAAAGAGGAAACGAATTAGCACAGAAATAATTCGCTTTAGTACATATGACATAGTATAAGTCAGTAGTGAATCATTTTTTATTTATGGAGATTGTTCTGCACGATTGTTTCATAGAAAGCTTTAAAAAAAATCAACAGATTTGCCAAATCCACTACTGGTTGTTTTTCTCACGCATTTTTGTGAATCACGTCGCTTTTACGTGAAAACTGAGATGGACGAAAGCTATGTAGGTATGTTTTCATACAAGAACCTGCTCTAGGTAAATAACGAATGTTTCAAATCTGGTAACTTTACACATAATTTTTGTTTCCAGCACGCTCGGTAATTACCGTGGAAAGTGGACATGTTTAATGGTGTTCGTATTTCATAGCAATGTTTACCTTTTTACACGAAACAGCTGTTTTATGTGACCACACATCAATCAATGTCCTTTATATAAGGTCCGGGCCAACAGGCTTAATAGTATTAGTGAAATATGCAATTGTTTAGTGGTGTTCGTATTTCAATGCAATGTTTATCTTTTTACACGAAACAGCTGTTTGCAGTGACGTAAATATCACTGTTCACAGTATGGAATGTTATGGTAGAGTGACGTCGTCACATGAGTGCTCAGCAATGTTTACAATATTTTTGCTTCTAACACCAGCAAGCTGCCTGTTGGCCCAAACCTTATATAAACGTCATTGCACATCAATGACGTTTATATACACACAGAATTTAGATTACCGAAGCCGGTAAAATTTTGCTGGGTTTTTAAACAGCTGAGTTTTCAGTAATCAACCCAGTAGTTTTTACTTTTACTGAAAACTCCGTAAATCACAGAATCTCTGAACTGCCAAAAAATTATTTAAGTCAGTAAAGAAATTGCTGTTCAATCAGTAATATATTTGTTATTTTCACAAAGGTTTTCTGTTACCAAACAGAGATTTCCGAAGTCAAGCGTGCGAGGTGAAACGGACGAGAATGACACAAGCAAGTTGACTTACTGGTGTGATCAGCAATCGAGCGGATTCGTCTGCATATGATAACCGAGGAGCTTCGATGACCAGACGCACGTCGTTGAAGTACAGTATACAAATCAACGGTCCCAAGTGACTTCCCTGAGGTATACCTGATGTGGCGAAGAAGGTAGCTGATCTGCAATTTCCTATAGTAAGCTTTAGTTGGCGACCGTTAAGATATGATCGAAACCAACTCAGAAGATTACCGCATACACCGAGCCTGCCGAGTTTAGCAATCGCAATAGCATGGTTGAACTTGCCGAATGCAAGGGGTAGGTGACTGTCAAATACGAACAATCGCCGCCTACCTCGCATAACTAGTTCCAAAGGACAACAAGCCATAAGCAACGACGGTTTATTGATCTTTGGAACCAAATTCACAAATGGAAAATCAGTGAGCGTACACAGGTGAGGTTCAGTGAATTTGTCGTCTCTCTCGCACTTCTGCTGTTTAAATGAATGACGGAGTTAGACGTCACACTCGTATAACAATTCAACAAACGGGAGAACGAAAGAGACGGCAAATTCACTGCGCGTTACCTATTTACATATCCTGGATGGATGATCAGTAGGCAGATTTCACAGCATCATGCTTGGCATGCACAGTTGTACACACCAACTGCTCATTTTTTAATAATTTTTCACTCAGTTGTTGAAATTTGCACCAATGCGTTGCTAAAGCTATTTTAGCAACCTCCACCATAACGCAGTAACCGCACTGGGGGTTGCTATCCAAGTGCGGGAAATAACAATCTGCCTCTCGGTGAACAGCGGGTTGACAAATATAGCAGCGCGATAGCAATAACCGACCCAAGCGTTGCTATCTATGAAATGTTTGTTTTGCTTTTTCATTTGAACATTGTGATATTTGAATGAATTTGGATCTGGGACAAAAATGTGGACCCAAGGGACAGCAAAGCATTCCGCCGGAAGACCCGGAACATCCGTAAATGTGGAAAATTAGTAAAAAAGGATCTAGATTTTTAAATCAACTTGTTGTTATGCTGCAGGAATGAATTTGTATTTGAAACCAGTATGTGCACTCTGGTGAGATCAGCTATGGCAGATTATGCACGAGTACGGATTTCCGGATAAACTGACGCGATTGGTCAAGGCGACGATGGATCGAGTGACGTGCGTTGTTCGAGTATCGGGGACACTCTCGAGTCCCTTTGAATCTCGAAGGGGGTTACGGCAGGGTGATGGACTTTCGTGTCTGCTGTTCAACATCGCGTTAGAAGGTGTGATCAGAAGAGCTGGGATAGACACGAGTGGCACGATATTCAGGAAGTCCATCCAGCTCCTTGGTTTCGCCGATGACATTGACATTATGGCACGGAACTTTGAGATGATGGCGGAAACGTACATCAGACTGAAGGCTGAAGCTAGACGGATTGGACTTGCCATCAACGCATCAAAGACAAAATATATGAAAGCAAGAGGTTCTAGGGAAGACAATGTTAGCCTCCCACCCCGAGTTCAGATTGACGGTGACGAAATCGAGGTGGTCGATGAGTTCGTGTATTTGGGCTCACTGGTGACCGCCGAAAATGATACCAGCAGAGAAATTCAAAGACGCATTATGGCAGGGAATCGTGCCTACTTTGGACTCCGGAGGACGCTCCGGTCGAATAAAATTCGCCGCCGCACGAAGTTGACTGTCTACAAGACGCTGATTAGACCGGTGGTCCTTTACGGCCACGAGACCTGGACTATGCTCGTGGAGGACCAACGCGCCCTTGGTGTTTTCGAACGGAAGGTGTTGCGTACCATCTACGGTGGAGTGCAGATGGATGACGGAACGTGGAGGAGGCGAATGAACCACGAATTGCACCAGCTGCTGGGAGAACCATCCATCGTCCACATTGCAAAAATTGGGCGACTACGGTGGGCTGGGCACGTCGTAAGAATGCCGCACGACGACCCAGTGAAAATGGTTCTAGAAAGCGACCCAACAGGAACAAGAAGAAGAGGCGCGCAGCGGGCAAGGTGGTTCGACCAAGTAGAAGGTGACCTGCGGACCCTTCGCAGACTACGAGGCTGGCGAACTGTGGCCATGGATCGAGTAGAGTGGAGACGACTTCTTCGGACAGCAGAGGACAACAAGGCCTTAGCCTGATTGGTAAGGTAAGTATGTGCACTCTGGTGGCCATGGAACGGTCCTTCGAAGGATCCGGAACATCCGTAAAGGTGGCCAATTTGTAGAAAGATCCTAGAGCTCCGTATTTTTTAAATAACTTATGTTGATGCTACATTAATCAATTTGGATCTGGGACCAGCATGCGCACCCTGCTGGCCACGAACTGATCTCTAATCATCTACGAAGTTCCGAGAACTTCCCAAAATATAATAAAACTTCCAAAAAATCTATATACTTCTCTGAAGGTCTTTAGACGTTCAACGTTGAACATCATGTGATCGTTGCTGAAGTTCCTGCATTTTTTTTTTGCAGTTCTGCACCATGAAATTTCCTTAAAATGATCTCACATTTCCTGATGCTCACGTAACATCTCTTATGTTTCTGAAATTTAAATAAAGATCTTGGTACTTTGATGAAATTTCGGATATTTCCTGAGTTTCTTGGATCTTCTTAAACATTCTTCAATTTCATTGAAATTAGTTGAACTGCTCTTAGTTTCTCTGATCATTCCTTCTGCTCTCGAAGCCATCCTGAAGTACTCTCAATTCTATTGAAGTTTTTGGTACTACCATAGAGGTAACTCTATGACCAGAAGGTCCCGAAGAAACGTGCTCAACTTTTTGGCTCAGATCTGGTACTAGATCTGACAAGCTAGCAATATGTCTCTTCAAAAATACAGATGGAACTCCATCAAGTCCAGGATTGAAGCATGACTTGAGCAGAGTCGTGGCCTTATAAATCATCTCAGCATTAACATCGATTGCACCCAGCGTTTGATCATTTACTGGAACGTTCCTGTCAGCCAGGGTAATATGGTCGTCAGTTAGTATCTCATTAGTGAATACACTCACAAACTTGTCGGAAAAAAGGCTCGTTCAAGTATTCCGAGTGCAGCTTAAGTTTGCGCTGGATGTCTCGTTGGAAACTTGAAAAGCATTTACGACTGACTCGCTGGTACATGTGATTCAGTCTCACATAATGTAGTTTCAGAGAAAGCGTGTGATACTTCGTAAATCTTCTCAATGCTGCTCTCTTGATTGACTTCAACCAACGTAGCTCTCTCGTCTGCCGGGAAGGGTGAGACATTTTGAGGTGAGTTCTTTACGGAACGTGTCTATCAATGACATATGCCAAGAAACGTGAAAGGTTTGCGCTGCTGCCTCAACGTCATCAGGATCAAGGATGTTCTCCCATACCATGCTAGACAATACATCTATAATGCTACCATAGAGGTAACTCTAAGACCAGAAGGTCCCGAAGAAACGTGCTCAACTTTTTGGCTCAGCTCTGGTACTATCTTCGGTCCCAAGCTAATCGATGCTACCCTCGAAACCAGAGTTAATGTACACGTGCATCCATCCCGCGTGATAGAGACACGCTTTCTATAAGATCGTAGGTGCCTGGTACATTTCGAGACGTATTATTTCGCGTTTCTTTTTTGTTCCTACGTGCCTCATTCGTGTCACGGAGTGCAGTTTCGAACGCCTTTGGATACGGTTGTTTGTTCTCTGTTTTGTGCGTGCGTTAGCGTTCATAGTTTTCGGCTGCATTTGCCGGATTAGCGCTGGCGCTCTGCCTCCCGGACGTTTATTCGTGTGTGATTGGTAGTTTTCTCGCTTTCCGGGAAGTTTTAGAATAGAGAAAGAAAACGTGATTCAACATGTTTGCAAGCATCACAAGAGAGGTCGCAATCTGCGTTATTTGATTTTCTCCCGGACCAGAAATTAGTGGCATCACGAGTGATAATTCTTAATTTCAGTTTATTTACGCGCTGCAAGGTGCGTGAAAGAGTTTGGCACAATCGG